ATGCTCAGGCTTTCAAAATCCATCTTCACACTGTGTTAGTGTGAACAACACAACAGTTGTCCATCATCACCTGCATGCACTTTGTACATCTGCATGAAGTATGAATGTCAATGCAGACTTAGAAATAGTGTTTTGGCAGATGATGAAGCTACATGCCGAGGACGCAGACCCATGGCTATAACAGCTCTCTGCTGTCATAGAGGGAGATGAAGCTCTGCTCTCCTTTTTTATTGTCTGCCTCCCACTGTGTTACAGACCTGGTACTTTTCAGACTTTTCAATGATCCCATTCTACTTGCTAACCTGGTAGAAAATGATCACTTCTTTTCCCATTACTATGTTTCTGCTGAGAGCAAGTTAAAAACAGTGCACAAGAGGGTCTGATAGATGCCAGATTTGGCAAAAAGTGATTCAGAGGGAGGTGGGGACAGTGGGATTTTTCCTCTGATTTTTCCCTTCGAGTGGCAGCAAACCATTCATCTGCCTTGCCATATTGCATAAAACCATAACCTAAGGGTAGAACTGTGTTCTCTCATAAAGGAGCATGTTTTCTTAGCAATTAGCAACTTGTTTATTGGAAGTTAAAACCAAGGCTGTCATTAACCACCTCTGTTCACAACAGGGAGGGATGCTGGCTACACCTAACTGGGCCTGTTTAGCATTTCTAAAATGCAGGGGACAAGCAGGAGATCATCTAGTAGGAAAAAGTTAGGATAAATATCTTCACTGGGATACTTCCGTACAAGTCCTGGAGGAAGACCTCAATTCGCATGAAAACTCCTAAGTATTCAGTTTACAGTCTTAATCCTTTTATGTGAAAGCAAATCTCTTGTAAGAGATGCCTCAATCGGGGGCTGCTACAAAGAAGGAAAGTTCTGTCGAAATTCATCTAAGGGGATAATAACCATGGCTTGCTTTTATTTCTGTTCTGCTCTCAACCCACTACAAAGCATTAGTTCCATCTGGATTGTGAAAACCGGTAACCCAACAACTGCCTGGTGTGAAGGGACATTTTAAAACAACCATTGAGCACCAGTGCATACCCTTCCTATAGATGAGGCAAAACTAATCTTTAGTATCCACTACCCAAATAAAATCCTAAGCTGGCCAAAAGGTACTCTCGGTCCTCGTTTTGCAAGGACGGCGCAACTCAGGCATAAGGCTGGACTTAACAGAGCTGTGCCCTCAAATGCCAGCATTTGCCAAAGGTCGCTGCTCTGCTGCCCACCACCCTCTGCACCCCACCAAAGCGGCACTGCCAAGAGAAGGGCAGCCCTAATCAGGGCTTCCTCAGGGTGCCCAGGCTGTGGAACAAATCCCCGCAGGAGTACTGAGAAACAACGCTACCCACGATTCACCCCCGGAGCTTCCAACTCCTGAGACTGCGAAAATGTCACAGCCCCACTGATAAAAGCCCCACCCGCCCCAGCCATGGCGGCGGCGCCCCTTCCGCCCGTTGTACGGC